GTGTCTTCCTTGTAAGCTCACAGTGTTCTCTTAAAGCAGCACACACAAAGCAAAATGATTAAATGTTTGAGTAGAATCTTATTACCGACACTGAATTTTCTGAGCTCAAAACTGTTTTCATGAATTGTTGAGTTTCAGAGTTGTTAGATAAGCTGTCAGAGAGGCTCTGTGAGTGTGTTTGGCTCTGTGGGTCCAGTGGGTGTTGTCAGGTGTCTGCTGAATGTGTGTTTGCTGGTTTCGATCCTCCCATTGTGTGTTTTTCATTTAAAGGCAGACGTCCTCAGCAGTGGGACTGAAAACTGTCAGAGAAGAGCTCTAAGTGCAGACGGTCCGGGTGGAGCAGCGGCATCCAAAGCGCTTCGGAAAGTAAAAAACCTGCTAACATGTAGCAGTAAGTTCGATTCCCGTGAGACCCGTCACCTGGAACTGCGATTCCCGCAGAAGTGGATGAGGAGGAGGGCCGTGACCTGTAAGCAGAGGGTTATAGAAGAAGAAGCTCCCACCCAGCTGAAGTTTTACAAACTGTGGGGGAAAGTGGGATTTAATGTTGGCTTCTTATTGCAGCTGGACAATATTTTAATAATCCTACTTTATTTCTACTTATTCATACTGCTAATCCTACTGATTTAATTACTGAATTGGATCAATTAATTCGCTATTATTTCTGATACAGACAGTTATGTGATGTTGTTATTAAGTTCAGTCAGCTTTACACTTTAGTTATCACTAAATGTTCTTTGGCGTAAAGAGCACAACATAACCTGGGTTTTTACATAAAGAACAGTTCTACCACTAAAAATATCTCAACCACAATCAGGAACTAAACCTATTTTTCCAGGTTTTTACTCTTTCTTTATGTTTTCAATATGAAATATTCAACTAAATTCCTTCCTAAATTAAACACAGCAGCTTTTACTACTGAGATAAAATATCTCACCAGAGAAGATGATCCTTCAGTTGGTGTGTTCCTCCGTTGACGCTGCAAATCTCCAAGTGTGAGACATTAGGTCTTAACATACAACACAGGACAGTGAAAGTAAAAAAAATAAATAACAATACAAGAATAATAAACTTTTATAGGACTCAGTTACATTAACAGTCAACATAAAGACTGGAAAGAGGAGCAACCTGAAGACTCTTCCATAGTTCCCACAGAGCCTCAACAGCAGTCCTCCTGCAACCATCAAACACAGAATAAATCATCACTAAAACTACAACTTGCATTCATTTAAAGTTGAACCATGGTGAACACATTCAAACCAACCTTGATGAGATAAAACAAGTGGCTATTTGCACTCATAAAGTTAATTTAATTAAATATTATGCTGCCGCTGAAGCCACGTTCTGCGTATTTGTATTGAGACACTTTTATATTCCTATTTCCTATCTTTCTTATTACTCCATCACTGTTTTGTGTGATAAAGCAACAAAAAAGTGAATCTTTAAATTTAACAGATTTAAGATCCATGCTCATGCACCGATGCTAACACGCTCAGAGTGACAACGCTAAAATGCCAATCAGGTGTAATGTCTGTTGTCACATTCACCAGCTTAGCTTAGGGTGTTAGCATGTTTGACATTTGCTAATCAGCACTAAACTTCATCCTTCATTTCCCACATTTTCACGTCAATCCATCCAGTGCGTGTCGAGATATTTCGCAGGATGAAGTGACATAAAAACCTTTCCTGAGCGGAGATCTGGGCCTCTTTGTGAGTTATAACACTCCGAGCACCAGAGTTCGTTCAAACCTGTCTAAAATGTCACATTACTGTACAGCTCGGAGTAAAAACTAGGATTTCTGCTGTACAGAAAGAAAGGACACAACTTGCCACCCTGCTCCTTTTTAAACCCCCTTTGCTCTCACCCATCACCACTTAATGACTTCTTTAAATGTCACCGTGGAGGGGTGCTGTTATATACGTCAGATTAAAATCTCATTAACTCAGAATGAGAACCTCCAGTACCCCCCCGCCCCATCTGATGCTGGGAGCCCTGTTCCACGAGTTCCTTACAGATGGTGAAGGTGGCACAGCATTAAAGGAGAGGATTTACACACAGTCAGTGATTCAGTCAAAAGGCACTTAATCGATCTCATTCCCTGGTAGCTGCCCCTCTCTCCTTCAATACGACCCCCACCCACACCCCGACTTGTCACAAACTCCCTCGGAGCATCAGAGACGTTGACGAGCCCCCGGGCAAGCTGTGATATTTCAGTCTGTCTGCGCGAGGGTGACCTGCCCTTTACATCACCTCTCGCTGAGGATTCCTCCACTTCCTCTGCTGCCTTTTGTTTTCATCTTGAAAGAGGGGAAGGAAGGGAAGGCTGAAAAACAAAGACAGAAATACAGCAGAAAGGTATTTTGCTTTAAAATCTGAAGGTCAAAGAGTGCCTGCGGTTTCTGATGTGGAAGTCCTTCCTGTGACCTCTGACCCAGGAGGCCCTGGAGCTGCAGCTCCTGTTCACTGTGGGGTGAACGGTGACATTTGCTTCTATTCAAATGAAGCTGAAATGTTTGCGTTCCTGTGGAACATGTGCATACGTTATCCACTCCAGCAACAGGACACATTTTAATGGTGTTAATGCTCATCTGTTTTCCTGTTGACCGCCTCCACCTGCAGGGGAAACCTTTCATTGGGAACCATTATGCTAATACAGCCACAGCAACCTGGGGGGGATGACCAGTGGAAAAAACTGTTTTTTACATTTAAAAATAGTTGAAGAAATGAGATTAAATAAGGGAAAATTGTATTATGCATTACACTGTCTACATAAAATCCAAAAATAAAGATACTTGATGTTTTTTGCACACATTATTTTGTTGGCTACAGCAAGCTACATATTTTTAATTTAATATTTTTCCTATTTAATATTTCAAATTTTTTTACTTCTATTTTGAGGGGTAGTCGCTCTCTGAATTTTGGAACAAGATCTCCTATAATTTGGGGGCTTTTTCAACACTATAATCAATCAATCTATCAATCAATCAATCAATCAATTAATAAATTAATTTAAATAATAAAAACTTTTTTTTTTTTATTAAATATAAATATATTTATGTAGACATTACTAGAATCAACCATGTTTTTCTTTCTTATGTGTTTTCTATTTGGCCAAATAAGGAACAATTTATGAGTTTATCAGTTAATATAAAGCGACAGCCAGCAGCCGGTTGGTTAAAGCATTGACAGCATATATATAAAGATAAATACTACTTATTAACTTAAATCTGATATGAAACACATATTTTTATATTAAATGGGACTTACTGTTCCAGAGAATATCGTTGTCTTCGATGTCCATCACGAATAAACGTCCATAAATCCGTTTAGAAATCATAGGGAAGAAAAAGACGCTCCTTGTAACACCGAACTTGCCTGAGAATAATCACGTTTTTAATTTTTCTTCAGTATCAAAGTATTCCAGCGATAATTGTCTGCACATACATGGTCACACTGCAAACTGGACCTGCTAATACATAATTCGGCATCGTTTATATGGTGCTAATTTTCCGAAATCTAAACAAATACAGACTAAAACAAACTTAACTACCTCATGGCCACATTACACTTCCTGTTTACATCCCCCAAATTATGGGAGATGTAGTTGCAGAAGATTTAGAGCACACCACCACCCAAACGACAAGTAAAACAAGACTACTAGGAGTGACATTAATTAACATTAAAATGTTTAATAGTGTGTGTTAAATTTAACCTCAACACTTTTTCTTAATTTTCTACTCAATACAATGAGATGGATATTCGTAAACATACATATTTTGAGCAAACAAATGAGGATTTGATACTTAATTTGAATGTTCTCTGTGCAAAAATCTTTGTCTCTCTGCAACAGTTCAATTAAACAAAAATGAATATATCTTTAGATACAGCCCAGTGATCTTGGACACAGACTTTGGATGGATCCTACTGAACCTTGGTCTGATGAATCCATCCAGATGCAGACATACTATGCACACAATCTCTGCCTGCAGGACACAACCTGCATCTGAACATGTTTTTTTTTTTCACAAACAAACATTCAGTTAGCCTGAAATAACCAAGCATGTGATGAGATTTGGTACAAACACTGATACACAGCATCATGTGTTATTGATAACAAGATTACTCGTCTACACACATATGATTAATTTCCTGGTTATCTGTTAAGCATCATAATGCACTCTGGTTCTTACTGTAATACAATTACCACAATGTTTCTTTCATTTTTTATTCAAACTCAAGAATACAGAGAATCAGAAATCATATTTAGACATTGAATCTCTTTGCTTAGCTTCAAATCACCATCAATATATGGAGGACAACACGGACAATAAAATAAATTACAGTGAAAATGGAAAAAAACAATTCAAATACAGACAATATGATTAGAGTGATATGTTGTTTGATGTAACTAAGCAGACTTGATACTGAAAAATGTGCAATTCTTCCTGCAAGATGAACCCACAGTGGTTGATTCTGACATTAATATATTGTAGCTTCTGATGCCTTTTATTTCCAAAGGTACCCGACTTGTATGAACTACAAAAAACTGGAGAACAACTGTGAGCAATGAATCAAAATCACAAAACCTCTCTTCTAATGAAGCATGGTCTTATTCAAACCAAGAAATTTCAGGTTTTGGCTAAAAAAAAAGGGTCAAAATTGTACATTAAATGACATTTCAGCTGTTTCTGTACAAAGAAAATATCCTGATAGGAAGCTTTAAAATGCATATCCAATATATAATTACTTAAATGACCTCTGCTTCTAGTCTTCTAGTTTTCCTCTGTAGTACATTCAAGAGAGAGCTGTCAGTGACAATAACCTCATGATAACCAATAAACTAAATCATGTGAGCAAACGGCTCCCCCTTCAGGCCAAGACTTCTCCTACAGTTACATCCCATTCACTTACAGAAGAAGGATTTCGAACCTGGCTGAACTTTGACCTGCAATACCAGTGTGAGTGGGCGGGAATGACATCTCTTTCAGGCAGTATTGATTGCTGCAGTTTAAGGATATCCTTACGTGGAGGCAGCAGAGTCGGAGAGATGCTTGTTTAGATGCTTAGATTTAACATTAAAGTTCACACTAATTACATATTTGAACATTTTGGCCCATTAACTGTGCAAACTGAGTCCATCCGGCATGTAAATGGGGTGTTTTAAGTTCATAAATGTTCCCCAGTGCAGCTTTAATTATTAATCAAATGGATCTGGGTGTGATTCTTGTTAATGTAAATTACATTTACACCAGTATTTTTTATGCAATTTACAATCCCTCCACTAAGTCCTGCCTTTAAAACTAAAGTATCCAAGTACTATTACATGATGTTTTTGGATTAATATTACTGCTGTATTCATGTGTTAGCTGCATTTAACTGCTGTAGGTGTTTAAGGTTGAGCTCATTTGAACTACTTTATACACTGTTGGGTAGTTTAATCTACAATGCATCATATTAGATCATCACGTGTTTGTAGCGTCGATGTCCAGTGAGAACCACATATCTCTAAAAAAACAGCCCTGTTTCAGCTGTGTGACGATGCAAGAGGGTTTTTAAATAGTTGATTTATATTAAAGATCCCCTCCAGTCATGTATTACGACAAATATACATATAGTCTGCTTGTGACAATCTGAAAAAATTCATTAAAAACCCCAGAATCTAAGAATATGTCAATTTTGTTCATTTCTAAAGTTTTCCTGCTGGACACAAAATGTCTCCTACTTCACTGTAAAGTCCCTTAAAATCAGATTTTCAATGAGCACAGAGAAACTGTCCACTTCCAGCAGATGAATGTGAAAACATCCTTCTAGTGTAAAACTCTGCACATACATTGTTCAAACAGCACATTGTAGGAACAAGAAGAAAAACTACAGGGGAAGCAGGAGAAACTCATAAAGGAACACGTAATCCTTCAAAATTCATAATCAAAATCACCAAATTTGGAGATATGTGGTTTTCACTGGACAGGAAAGGGTAGAAAAAGTAGTAAAAAGTACAGAATTTACTGAGATGTTGTGTAGAAGTATAGAGTTACATCAAATGGAAATACTCCAGTACAAGTACTTAGTCACATTACAAAAAAACTTTGCTCAATTTGTTCATTACAACAATCAACAGTCAGCAGAGTCAGCTTAAGTCAATTAACTAAGACAACCTCTAGATATTCAACTCTTTAGTTACACTGACTAAATTTATTAAATATTGATTTGCTGGAGAATTTGATTTGATGAGTTAAGTTGGACATTTAGTCATTATTTGAAGACTTTAGTTAACAATATAAAGTAACCAAACAAATCTGATTACACTGTAAAATAATGAGTTGATTTAATTATGAAAGTTTACAGTGTAAATTTAACACCATCGTCCCATACATTCAAGTATGTGTTTGAATTCCACTTTAATTACTAATACTTTAAATTTAACCTATGTACATAATCTTTAATAATTACATATAATACACTAAAGTTAGTAATGTACATATAATTATTGATTAAGAGATGGAAAACACAGATGAAGTTAAACGTCTAAGTCGCACAAAATAGTCAGAGTTCAAACGCGCAGAAGTCACAACACACACTCTCGCATTCATGTTAGAACCAATAATTAACCTTTTGAAAATGAATTTGAGGCGGACGAGATGTGGCACACAGCTGGCCGACATGCTGGCAAAATATTCACAGTTCAGTCTCTGACATCGGAGAGAGGAAGAAATAAAACATCTGAGTCTGTCCTGTTGCTCCTCCGTGTTCAGAGGAGCTCACTAGAGCTCTTTCAACGCTGTGAAGAGACCTCATCGTCTTCCGCCACTAGAGAGCAGTAGTCATCCATTTCCTTCACAGTGCCACTCCTCAGTTTAATATGGATGTGATTTGCATGGTGTGCTCCTTTGCTTTGCCCATATTTTACAATAAATTAGGCTCTCAGCCAGGTTTATATACATTCCCCATTTGTCATGATAATCCTGAAGTTCCTCAAGCAAATGCCTCCTGCTGATCGCCCTGTCCTGCGCCGCACAAGTTATCCACTGAGTCTCGAAACCAAAACATCCAAAACTCCTAGACTCTAATGATGCTGATGGAGGAGGAGGCTCTGTGGAGCTACAGGAGAGAGACAGGGAGAAGGAAACAGTGAGAGGGAGCTGAATTCATAAACACATGAGTCAGAAACAGAGAGGGTCACATATAGATATGAACATGACTCATATCCAGGAAGGCAGTGTGTGGGACATTCACATGCACCGCCATGTGCTTTTATGCACTTAATATATATGATGCCTGTTAAAGATTTATGAACTAATCAATGTGAGTGTGTGCGAGAGCTTCGACATTTACTGACAAACCTAAGTGTTCTATGCGGGCCGGAGGGTCAGCCTCGGTGGAAGTTCTCGCTTTAATTTACGTTAATTCAGGGTGTGTTTTGGCAAAAAAATGTCAGAAATTTAAAGTCATTCTTCCTGTGGGGAGGATGACGAGGCACTTCTGGCTATTGAGGCAACCAGACATAAAATTAAACGTGGTTGGCACGACTTGTTTTGTTGTCGTTTCATCTCTTCCCCTTGCGAAAGGACTTTGCCAAAAACATTTATTTTAATGAACGTGCATACTCACCACCACACAGTTTAAGCATTCACACCATTATATTTACTGTCATGCTTTTAATTTCTTAACCTCTTAAATAATCATAATCTCATGCTGTGCAGCCAAACAGAACTTGATTTAAAATCTAAGAAAAAGGTACCAGAAATGTCAAAAGAAACCAAATATATAAGGCGTTGGAACATATGATACTGTCTGACAGTGTGGACTAAACCTTAAAGCTAAAACTAGATAGATACAGTATAAGAAAAGCTGGACATTAAGTGGTTAAGTAAGTATTCTTTTTATTTTATTTTTAGGTTTCAACATTATAAAGTCTTCATAGTCAATCAAATCCAAAGAAATCACTGCCCTAGATTATATTTAGTTAATAAACCTGCAAAAACTGCATTTATTGGCCGTTCTTTGTTGCGAACACTGACATATCATCACCTCACCTTTTCACTTGTTATAGAGAAACATTATTATGATTTGTGTGTCACCTGATGTGTCACTATTTTTTGGCCTCTACCAACTCCTAAGGGAAACATCTGCTCTGAAACAGCTGCCTGCTGCAGCCAAAACTGACACTATGACGATTCAAACCCATGGCGGCTGCAGGGAGGACTCATGGGGTGCCAGGTCTACCAGGTAGGGGGCCCCTAAGTCATATTTTAACATCATGTTGTAGGTTGAAGGAAGGTGGCACTTTGAGATCCCTGGTTTGCAACATTTTCCAAGATTAAAACTATGCATAGTTATGTAATTTTGAATTTAGATTCAAGGAAATCTGCCTCAACATCATGGAGAATGATACTTTAAAGAAATTCCTTTCAGAAGTAACTCCTTCAAGTGTGATCTTGTCCTTGTTTGACCTGTGTTTATGTTGCTGAGAGCGCCACTCATTCACCATTGCTTTTTAATAAGTGGCGATTAACCAGCTTAAGATAAGAGTGATTGCTGTGAACATGACTGCTGTGCTGCTTTTAAATCTTCAAGGTTTTACCATTGATGTATCTGATTGACGTAATGCCTTTAAACTCTACTACTCCTTATCCAGCAGGCAGGGACAGCACAGGCTTTTCAGACGAGCAGAGTTGCTTTTTTTCTGAATCTTAATGAACCTGCAGACTGATCGGACTCGCCTCGAACTCCAATTCATCGTCACATCTTCACAGATCTACCCCGTCAGACTGCTCACTTCTACTGCAGCAGCCAAAACAAGCATCAGCAGCAAGCTCCCCTCGGTTTCCAGCCCTGGTTGTTTTATATTTAGCCGCGATGGCAGCAGCTGTGGTTGCTAGGAGATCTCTGATGCAACTACAAAGGCTCTTCAGAAGAAACAAAATACTCCTGGCAGCCAAGAATGATCATGCATTATAGAGAGGCGCCGCTGCAACAGACTGAAGAGCTATGGAGAAGAGGAGTAAGTTTTCTTAATGAAGTTCAGGCATTGGAGGAGGAATTAGTCACCCTGCTGCTGCGTACGGCTCCGTTGTGGTAGATGGGGGAGCTCCCGGCTGAAGGGTTGTAGTAGGAGGAAGTGGCGCGGACCAGCGGCCTCTTGGCTTTCTCCTTCGTGCTGTTGGAGTCGTTGTCTTTTATGATGTCATACTGTCGGCAGAAGAGGGCGATGACGGCTTGGGTGGAGGAAGACGAGGCCACGGAGAGCAGGAGAGAGTAAAAAAAGAAACACACATTGAGTACCCTCCAAATGCAACCTTATCTGCACTCTGGCAGATCTGTCCATACACCCACACATGCATATAAACACACACACACACACACACACACACACCGAGGCTGACCTGCCCACAGCAGCAGCACAGTGGTGATAATGAGCAGCTCTCCTGTCTGTAAGTGAGGAGTCATGCCCAGACCTTCCATCGCTGGCTCATCTGAGGAAGAGTAAAGATTCGGCAATGTCAAAACCTTCAGCGACAAGAAATTAAAACACAACGTTTACGTGTGTGCGATGATTCAATTAAATTCTATCGCTTCAACAATCCCCAGAGGTCAGACGAACATTAACACACACACTAATACATATTCTACGTAAGAGCATGGTAGTGTAGCTTAATTAAAAACAAACAAACAATAAAGATGACAGTAAGCAAAAAGCTAATTATGCTGTAGAGGTGCAAGTAAATAATAATAGGAAACACACATCAGACATGAAAACTAAAACTGTCGGGTAATACTGAAAGCTATGCCAGCTTGTGATGCTACAGTGACTTCCTGTTTACGTAGTCGATGGCTCTTGATTGGACGGCGCTATAGATGTTAGATGGGATGTGTTAATTAGTGAGCTATAGACAGCCAGGCTAGCTGTTTCCCCTTGTTTCCAGTCTTTATGCTAAGCTAAGCTAACCACCTGCCAGCTGTAGCTTTAAATTTAGCGTACTGATAAATGGTACTCTAACTCTCAGTAATACTTCAATAGGCATTTAAGTAATTTTTAGTTCAGATTAAGACAGAAGGTGCTCAGGGAAACTACAGCTTCATCAATCTAATGATGGAAGGTTATTTTTGCTCAGCAGAGAAGTGGTTTAACTTGCACATAAATATTTATTTTTCACCCTCTGATTATTTTACTTTTCCTGTTTTTTCCTCTTAAAAATGTGCATTTTAAGTGATAAACTGTGAGTCAGAGAGTCTTTCTGTCTACTTTTCAAATCTGATTTGAAAAAGAAATAAGTAAGTTAAAAAATACAAGGCCGAGTTGCACTTTTTGTGTGTGTGTATGTGTGTGTTTATTTACGGTGGTCCAGGACTCCGGCTGGATAATGGTCACTCCTCTCCAGGGTCCTGAAGTGGACGGCACGGCTGGGTTGGCTGTCACCATGCGGCCCAACAGACTGCACCTAAACCCCCCATGCCCCACGGCAAAAACAAAAGCATGACATAATCCTCCTGTGTTTAAAGAAACAATGAATCTAAGGTGGAGATCACATTCAGACACAAAACGCTGGGTACATTCCCAGCTGACATTAACGTAGGATGACATTATGTAACGTTGACAAGAAACCGGCTCGCGAAGGTATATTTAGCGAGCAAATGGTGCTTTGGTTTTTGGCCGGAATCCTGAGTGACCGTTGGAGGACGATGAGTACTGTAAGCGCGGAAGCAGACTAAAAGCTTTGAAGATAAAAGAGTGGAATATAGATTTGAGTTCATCTGGGGCCTTCTTCGGGACATTTTCAGCAACCAAGAAATGAAAATCCACCCAAAAAGGACAGTAATTGCAAGAAATAAACTCGTTTGATGGTGTATTTCTCATTCAAACAGAATATTGAGCTATTTCTAGCAGCTAGAGTGGAGTTTGATAACAAAATTATAAAATATGAAGTACAGGGAGACAGATCCATCACAGGAGGCACAATTACATCCACAAGAGGTCTCAGACACGGCTGTCTGCGCCCACGCACTGAACCCAAAGGTTGAATGCAACGTGTTTTCTGTAGCGTTTGTTGCAAATCATCCTAGGAACACCACTAACCAAGGCATGAGTGGGTACAATATAACACTTCATCACAACATAAGTCCTTAAATTAATCCAAAAGTATCCAAAGTTGCAAGTTTGAATGCTGCAAACTGTCCTTGGGCAAAACACCAAGCCCTAATCCATCCACTCACTCTGGATAATGATAAAACTCTTCACCAAACTCCACAGGGAAATCCTCCTTTTCAACTTCCTCTCCTCTGCAGGGAGGTCAGAGGCGGAAAGTTCACATTTCCACGCTCTCGGTGCTGGCGATGCTTCAGCGCTTTGCTCAGTGACACTTCTGCAGGACACCCGCTTGCTGACAAGCATATTTAACCGGCTCCTCTGGCTGAAGGACAATCTGTATCAGCCTATTAAGCTATAATGGATTATAGAAAGTTTAATAGAGTCGTGATAATTAGGTCACATTAGATACTCTTCCCTCCGAGAGTTTGAGCTTTTGATTTAAGGTTGAGCTGTAATAACAAATATCTGTTCGCCTTAAAGAAAAGTGTTACCAGCGTGTGTTAATTATACACTCAGAGGACGTTAATAGGAATACCAGTTAATTTATAGAATGCAATTTATCTTCAGTGAGGCTCCTCAATTAAAGCTGCTCTGTAGAGTTCTGTAGAATCTCATTTGCCTTTTTTTAATTTGGGGCTTCCCTTTTACACATTATCACAAGTATTATCGTTCCAGAGCTTTAAAGCGCATGTCACATGATTTCCCCTTGATACACAGGCTTGGGGAGTAACGAATGGCATGTAACAGAGTTATGTAATCAGGATACAAAAAAACTGTTACAGGAAAAAAAAGACTTATTTACAGGTACATTTAGTAAAAAATTAGGATTATTTGCCGGATTGTAGTCTTAAAATGTATTTAAAATAAAGAGCGATATACTACCATGCACAGTCTCACAACACCACGCTGGTCTCAGTGAAACCAGGTAATTAATGCTTAGTGAATTGCTTTCACTGGGAGGGAATTTCTCCAATATTCTGTCTTTAGAGCAGAGAAGTGGAACAACGTCACAGTGCAAGTTCTGCTTTCAAGCTGGGAAAACGGTCTAAAGGCCACTGCTAGGGTTGGGTGATCGGACGAATATGAGTCCATCGCCGTCTTTGTTTTGAGGGAGGGGTTTGTCATTTAATTTAGCTAATTTAACGAGAGCTGCTGCTCAGCGGTGCAGCACACACACTGAGCGAGAGGGAAAACAGCTGGAGACTAACTCTGAAGTCCATAAAGTGAGAAAACATCTGAAACAAAGAAACTCTGGTGGGGGTGGGGGTTGCTTATAAATGCTTCAACACCTCAGTAAAGTGTTCTACTTGATGAATTATGATAAGAATGTTTTATTATTACTGTTATAATTACAGATAACTTTCTTGAATGGCAAATTAGAGTGTAAAGAGCAGTCTGAATGGTTTATTAGGTACCGAGAAGCTGCTTTATGGTAACATCTCATAAACAATTTAGATATTTACAATCAGTCTTAAACGTGACAACAAATAAGCCCAAACTGGATGTGTGGATGTGTGTGTGTGTGTGTGTGTGTGTGTGTGTGTGCGCTCACCTGGACGCTGTAGTGCGTGTCCTCGTCCAGGTCCCACAGCACACACCAGCGGCTGGACGTGTTCACCTCTCGGATGGAGCGCTGCATCAGGCCGTCCTGCCTCTGCAGACACACACGGAGCAGTACAAACACATAAATATGCACACTCACACACACACTTAGCATGTAAATGAAAGGAACTGTGGGAAATGTATTTGTTTTACTACTCAGAAAGAGGTAGCGGTATAAAAGCCCCCACCATTACCCAACAGAATTAATTTGTTGGATTGATTCATTATTATTTCAAGATGAAGGGTTAAGAAGGCAAATAAAATGCCTGCTGCAACGAGCAGCTTCACCTCATATAAATTCAGCTCAAACGCTTAATATCCCACTGGGAGAAATTAGGTCTGCAGGCAAGGTAACGCCAGCTATCATCATTTGGAACAAACAGAGAAACACATGTACAGGCAGAGATCATCTGCTGTTGCAAAACAGCTGCCTTTAAGACAAAATGCATGTACAAATATCAGCGTACTAGTTCATAGATAAACACATTCTGACCTAGTGAAAAGACATTCTTAAATTCTGAGTTTTTGGGGCTGGAACTTGTTTACAGACTCTGGAAAAAATCGTATTTTCTTATTTTGGACATCTGAATGTGCTATGAAAAAGGCCAAATGATGACACAGATTCATTAAAAGTCATCATACACGAGGAAACGTCTACAGATCCTGCTATAGTCTGATTTCTCAACATTCACTCGTCAGCAACATCCAACATTTGTGGACAGTGTCGGGCTACATTTTTTTATTTATTATGCAAGTTATTACATTTTCAAAAGTGTTTGTGAGGACCTTAAGTTTGTTTATTATTCCGTCCCAACAGTAATTAGTTACACTACTTATATTACTTTTCTGTCACTCCCCACAAATTTAGTGATTGTGTCCCTATTCCTCAAAATTCAGACCCACAAATAATTTGTTTTGGTTAAAATCAAATTAATGTGAACATCTTCCAAACTAGTATCCTCCACAATTACAAAAATGAATGAAGGATGTGATTAGATTGTTCATTTGGAGTCATGGTTGTGTGCACCAGATGAATGTAAGTCCAATATAGCTCTATTTTAGCTCTGATTATGGTCTCCACCATCTCCTGAGGGAAATATATGACTCTTTAGCTGCTAAATGCTCCACTGTGTTCACCAGCTAGTCGCTATCTCTGTCTGTCTGTTGTTTGCTGCTGAGCAGGTGGTGTAAAGTGGTTGTGGTGATTTTTTTAGAGCTTTTTAACTGAAAACAGCTTCCTGCTGCGTCTGAAAACAGCGAAATTAGAGAAAACACAGTAAAATTGCGGCGGTAAAATCAAAATAATGAGCTGAAAGATGCAACTGCATGAGTCAGGTAATCATTTTTAGTGGGTCTGTCATTACGAGCAAATCCTTTTTGATCATTTCATTCATTGTTGATATAAATATATAATGAGAAATAACAGCAGGGACAAAAAAATCTTTAAATGGATGGTTACTCCCTTTTACAGAGGATGTTCAGTCGAGTCCAGAGTGACCCTCAGACCTGAACCATCAAACTAATCTTACATAGCACTCAGAAAAAATCATAAACCTGTACTCTTATTTGAGATCATTTCAGACTAGATACTAATGCAAAATGCTTCTGAAAAACTTATATATTCTAAAGTTATCTAACAGATTTAATTATCCTAGATTACAGTTGAGACTTCATTTGAAAATAGTTTTTTTTTTGTCAAGAATTGTACCTCTAGGTTGTTCTGATTACCCACAATCTCAACGTTTATAGACAGAAGACTTCCTAAAATCCACAATCATGTCTTTTTTCTTTACATTGAATGTAAGATGGTGAAGCACACCATCTTCGCAAACTGTTTTTTCCACTCAATAAAAGTCCACGATCCAGCCAACGGTGGGCGTTACAGTCTAGTGAATGACACACAGGTTTCCCATGAAGTAAATGTGGCCGTTAAGTACTAAAAGCTGAGGAAGAGTCAGTAAATAAAAAGCTGGCAGGATGCTCGAGGCTCTCCAGATGTCTGAATCACCAGAGACTCAGAGACAGGCAAAGTGGTGTGTTCTGCATCTCTGGCAGCCCTGAAAGCAGCGGGTCAGTGAGTAAGGTTTTATTGGACCCTAACCCTAAAAGACCATAAAATATCTCCACAGAGGTTAAAATAAAGTAAATCAATAGCAGTGACTCAGCTCTGATTTTGCCAGAGTCTGAGATTTTGGAGCAAAAAACTCCAAATCCACCAAAATATTTTAAAAAATCCTGCTAAAGCAACAGGCATTGAAGTGTAACTCCAGTATTTCTAACATGTTTTTGTAACAAAGTGACTGATCATTGAGTGAGAGCAGCGCTGAAGGTCAAGACTTGTCGAATCCAAAGAGGTTCAAGTCCAAGTCAAGACCGAGTCCAAATGAGAGAGACAGAGTGGAGGCCAGTTCCTTTTGCCAACGAGATGAGTTTTAGCAGCCAGGCATAAGATTGCCAGTGTTACTGACACTGGCTGTCTGGTAACCATGGTTACCTGGTTACCCAACCATGGTTACCCAACCATGGTTACCAGGTGGCCTATGTCAATGCCCATTCCAGATGGATTAGAAATAGAATTAAATAGAAAAAGATAGAATTAAACCAACACTAATTTTCTGAATCACGCTGCATCAGTGGTCTTGTTTTGTTTGGTTGAGACCAACTAGAATATTTGGCGAGACCAACTCCGAGACAAGTATGAGACAATAGAGAAATGTTTTTTAGTATGACAGAGCGCTAGCAGGCTATCGTGCACCGACAAAATATGTCCTTTTTCTTAAGGCCCAAAGCTGTTTTTTTTCACAGATTATGTGTCTCATGTATCACTGTCAGGATACAGTGAAAGTTATTAACCTATTATTTTTATAACCTACTGCAGCTTTAAAAGAGCTTGTCTTTGCTACTGAGTGGCTCAAGTTGTTATTATAAGTGTGTGACATCGCAACCCTATAGAGAAATGAAACGTTTTTCTGATCCGCTGTGTGTCTAACCCAAGTCTCACTCAAGGGTGAAATCTCAGAAGAGGAGAGGTGGCTTGTTGCAGGGGGTGGGAACGTGAGCACCGGCTGGTTTGTTGTGTTCCTGTTATGTAAAAGATTTTCAATGTCATGGATGACGGATTACACGGATGGCTGTGAAGCTCGGGAGACTGGCGCTGTTCCTGTGGGTGCTGATGCCCACAGAGATTTTAGAATGAGGCTTAACACAGATCGGCTGGTACGAAGAAAGTTTCATTTCTCTGAATAATTTCCATAATGCTGTCTGACACATTCTGAGCTCAGTGGCAAAAACAAACACTGAGGATTCCGTTGCAGCTCTTGTTCATTACTGAACCGAACTCAGAACCCATTTAGTCATATGACACTAACCACTAATTGACAAAAATACCTCATTCAGGCAAAAAAGGCATTTGTTCTCTATAAGGTAAAATGAATTAAACATGAGGATGGTTGATGTGGCAGAACAAGACGACTTCTAAGTCGTAATGTTGGCTTTTCTTGTGGCGCTACCAGACGGGAACGCTGCACTGAAGCTGGCATGTTTTGACTCTGCAGCAACTGTCGTTTGGCAGATTGAACACAGTCGTTGAGGACTGGCATGAGGGGGCGAAATTAAGGCAAATTCATGCTGTTCTGTTCTTCATTGAATTGTTTTCATTGTCAGCTTTTTTCTGCCAAAAGGACATTGGTTAACATTTATTATTTGGTACAAACAAGCAAATTCCCAGTGTGAATCCATTTATTTTAATGTAAATGATAATTGGGGAGTGCCCCAGTGTTGTAAATGAAAGAAGCTGTTCTTCTGTTCTGAGTATGTTATTGTTTTAATACAAAATGCTAAAACTAAGTATGCTTCTGCTGCCTTGATTTCAGACAAACTGACTTATTTTTATTATAAGCTACTGTTTTTGTAAACTATTAATCTTAGATTAAGCTACAAACTCTTAAATTCTGCTCAATAAAGTGACAAAAATACTTATTTTAAGAAACTTTATGTTAAATTAAGTAAAATTAAATTTTTGGCATCTTTTCTAGTTTTCAGTCCCATTACAGTCTTTCAGTGGCTAGATTTTCATGCTAGTTTACCCCTTTGGCAGGTTATGTTTTGCTCAATACAAGTATTGCAGTGTATTGGATTCCTTTGGCTCCACAAATAAAAGATCAGGATGGTGTTGCATGAAAAAACAAGAATTCACAGCCAGTTTTCTTTTCAATTGGACAGACCTTTTAGCTTGGTTGGCTGGGTTCACCTGATGTCTCAGAGACCTTTAAAAAGGTCTTAAACCTCAGTAAAATGTCTCTTCTGCAAGGACCCTGAAGTTTACAGGTGAAGACAAAGTTTGGTCGCCATTTTTAGGTCAAGAAAGAAAGTCAGCAGCCTAATGCACTTCAGCAGTGAAGTGAAGCAGATAAACACGCCTACGGTTTAAAACAGACACTATGGATTTATTTGATCAACGTCCACCCACATACTTACACTAATCATCAATTAGTTGTGTGTTTTATGATTTATGAATCAGAATTATTGGGAGTTTTTGTAGCTTGGATATACAATCTCAAATTGGGTTACTTCCTGCGTGTGTGTCTTTGAAAGCGCTGTTGCACAATGGTGTGAATCTGAGCAGCCGGAGCTCTGGGATTTGGAACAACTTCAGATGAGTGAAGTAACTCTTTGTCTGAGCAGATTCACTCGTCCTGCTTCACAAACAGAAAGCTCGGCTTGTTACTGAAAGATAGCGTATATGAAATAATCTCCTAAAGCAGCCGGTATGTGCATGCAAATCAAGGCTGAAACCTGACATAGGCTCATCGTTGAGTGCGGCACCTTTTCTATGACTGCATTTCTAAAGATTTTTATAAATTCGACCTCATCCAGAGCAGCTTTTGATCACTAAGCTCAGTAGATAAAACCTGCATGAATACCAGCTGCATCTACCTGCTCCCATCGCCTCCCCTATTAATATTTCAGTAAGGTTTTTACATAAGTGCTTTCTGAGGTTATGGCAGCAGATGTTTTACATCTCCGTCCTCTGTTTTCTTGAAAATGCCACGAGGCTGATGGATTCTGAGTCAGACGTGAGGCGACTTAAAAAAAAAAAAAAGAAGAGTTATTTTGGCATCGTCGCCGCTGTGGATGTTTCTCCTGTGAGACCAAGTCCCGGCCAAATAATTTCCACTAATGGAGACAGCTCCCACTCAGAGCTCAGCTAATGTCTGATTCTTCTTTTGCCAAACTGTGGGTGGTAAAAACTGATTAGAATGAACCAAGCTGAGTTAGCAACCTGGGATTAAGGACATGTGAGACCGACAAAATGTGGTGATATGAGGATAATTAAATGTGAAATAGCTTGTGATTCCCAACCAGGTGTACTGTAGTTGATTTATATATTCATATGCATGTATTGAGTCAGCTGTAACACCTGAAAAGTGTATGTTGTGAATGAGAGTTTGTGAAAAACAGAGTGAGCAGAGCGGTTTAGGTCAGTGGTTCCCAACCTTTTTCCTTCAGTGACCCTATTTCAGCTTGTAAGTGACATATTTTATGTTTTTACAATTAACCCAAATAATGTTTTGGATTTGGATGACTTTTGAGCAGATTATTTCCTATTTAGCAAACTTTTTGTACAATTCTCTCTTTATATTATGTTTTTCATTTTTAACAATCATACAGACTTAATAGGATTATTTTTTGAGACATTCAGTGTTTTCTTGTCCCTGAAGCTCATTTTATTAGACAATTTACATTTCATTATCTTCACAGAAGTGAACAAACGCTGAGATATCGGCCTACTGTGTATATTATTTAGGTTTTCTCACACGCCTTAAAATCAAGAAGGCCTTGCGACCCCCCATGAAGCTTTGGCGACACCTAGCTGGGGGTCCCGGTCCCCAGTTTGGGATCCACTGATCTAGGCAGATAACAGATAAATGGTCGAATTGTTATCTAAAACTAATGGATAATGTTTGAAATACTGTAGTTAGCCTAAATGTAACCAGTAAATGTTTGAAATACTTTTCAAATACTCTTTTTATATATACATGTCATGACGTAAAGTAATCCCAAAAGATCGATTCCATGTCAGCGCTGGCCTTGCAAGGTCCAGCCTGATTTAACAGTAGATGGCATGAATGTGAATTTTAACACCAATATTGATGTGTTTCATTACAGTACGGTTGTATAATTCAGTTTACAGCTCAGAAAAAAAAACATTTTAGGGTGGAGTACCTCTTTAAAAGTGGATGCCAGGGTGGCAAGACCACTTCCTGCCCCTGTGTGTTCCTCCTTCACTACAGTATTTTACTTCTCCTCTTCACTCTGTGCCAGTTCGTCTCAGTACCTTTGTGTCTCGCCTGATACCGATGTTTGTCTGCTTTTTCTTGCTAATTGAAAGTTCCAGATCCTCTTTTGGCTCGAAACTTTTGTAATCAGGAGATTTGCTTTTTATTATAGTACCTACGTCAACCAGCAGCCACCCTTGACATTAACAAGCACTTTCAACAAGTTGGACATTTATGAGCAAAATCTCCTGACATCTCTAAACTTTTAAAAAGGAGAAATCCCTCTGTGACTCAGTGTCTTCAGGCAAAACGCTGACTGGCTACAGGCCTGACACGAATGACGCAGCGTTTTAAAAACCCCCGTGGACAGTAGGAGGGGTAAAGAAAGAGAAGAATCCATTCCTCAAGAGATAAAGACGATCACAAAAACTACATTATTCAACTTTGGAAAAGCTGTTTTGGTTTTTTTTGCCCTGAGCATGGCAGCAGTCCAAGTTTTCTGGGCATTCAATTCATAATTTATATCCCTTCAATTTGTATCCCTGCAAAATTAATTGGCCTTCAACCAAATGAGAGCGCTGGTGGAGAAAGGGTTAGATCAGGGTAAATTTGACACAAGACAGATTGATTAAGTTTAATGAGGAGCATGACAAATTATTTTTCAAGCTTTTTAAGGATTAAACCAATTAAGAAAAAACTATATTTGGGCTCAGTTGCCTCATTCTCATTGTAAATATTCTCTCTCTCTCTCACACACACACACACACACACCTACACAAACACACACACACACACGTAGTGAGGATACTACTTTATTGTACCTGCTGTGAGATGGCGTATCCAATGACAGTGTCTCCCTGAGGGACGTTCCAGGTCACCATGGCCGAGTGCGCCCTTAGCTGGGTCACGGATACGTTCACTGGGGCTGCTGGCACAGCTGTTAACACACACACACACACACACACACACACTTTGTAATACTTGTTAGGGACGGTCAGAGTGTGTTAAAAAGTGTCCTGCTGCAGTTGAAAACAACACACAACGCAGCCAAAAGTATGTCAAGATGTCTAAATCATTTTTTTTAAATGGCCTAAAGTATGTAGACATGCCAACATTACACCAATATGTGATTGTTGGACATCTAATTCCAAAACCCACGAGCATTAACCTGCATTAATAACAGCCTCCACTCTCCGGGTGTCAGACTTTCCACCACATATTGGAAGCTGGCTGCGGGAATTTCTCCCATTCAGCCCCAAGAGCATTAATTAGTGAGGTCCAATGACGTTGGTTGGTGCTCAGTCGGTGCTTCGGTTCAGCCCAAAGGTGCTGTAGAGGGTTAAGGGTCAGCGCTCTGAGCAGACCAGTTAAGTTCCTCTACACCAAACTGGGGAAATAATTTCTTTCTGGAAACAGAAGTTGGAAGCACAGTAATGTCTAAAATATTATTGTATGTGCTTGGAATGATGTTTCCCTTCAGTGGAACAAATGGCTTTAGGTTACACCATGAATAATAGCTCCAAATAGGGGTGTCCACATACCTTTGACCACATTATGTTTGCATATAAAACCACTTGGACAAAAATCTGAAGAAATGTCACATCACATTTCGAACTGTGAGCAAAGACAAAAGGAAACCTTGTTACGACCCTGAAGCCAAATCAGAACTTCTTCTTCTTTGTTTATCATAAATAATGTCAAGCTTTCGTCCCTCTCAGGAAAATGAATACATTAAAGATAAATATACCTGTGAATAATGCACATCAGCCCTCCGGCCTTTCTTAAAGACTGTTTTACAATCTTTCTCTTTGTTATTGTTGCATTTATCATTTCCAAACATGTTGCTTTTTGATGCAATGCACAGTTAAAATGAGCTACAGAAAATAAAACTGCCTCTCCTCGCATGGTTTTGTGGAACAGGAAGGTTTGATTGACTGATTAATGGAAAAGAAGTTACTGTGCTTAATTAAGACTTAGTGTGGCACATAACCCCCCAGTAAAACCACAAAATGATAATTTTTACGTGTTGTTTTTGAACAGACAGCACAAATGAGAGAGAACGTCTTAAATACTGAGCTTTAGAGGTGCTGCTAGGTGGAATTTGTTACCTTTGGACTGATTCATACAAGCTGTTTCCAGTCTTTATGCATATAAACTGAACCTCAGACCCTTACGCATTGACACTTATACATAGGTCTGTATTTCCTGGAAGTGAAAGAGGCGAATAAACAAATGTCCTCCCAATCGTTTTGGTCTCTTGCCGGACGTCCTGAGCACAAAAACAAACAGCCACACTGATATTCCATCACAGTGCCTGCCAACCTGGGGGTCGGGACGCCCACTAGGGGTGTATAAAAATTAAAAAAGTACACACAGTAGGTCTATATCTCAGTATTTTATTCATCCTGCATCAGAAAAGTACAAAGTTCAAAACAACCAAAGAGCTGATAGTGTGTCCAAGCGTCAGAGAGAAGAAAACACTGAGTTTGTCAAATTAGAATCCTACTAAGTGTGTATGCCTGTTAAAAATGAAGAAAATACACAATACAGATAGAGAAGTGTGTTAAAAGTTCTAATAATCTCCTCAAAGTTCATCCAAATCACTCGTTTTACACAAACTTCCTGCAGTTATTGTGTTTGGGTTCATTTGGCTCCATCAAGTCCACGTGTGTTTCTGTCAGTGTCCTCAAGACAGACACCGAATGACTCTCCCATCTGCTCTGTTCATGTGAGTCGCTCCAGACTAAAGAGTCGGTTAAATGGCTCAAATGTAAATGTTGGATCATGTGCCAAAGATGAGAAACACACACACACACACACACACACGCTACACTTACACAGTTGAAGGCTCATATTAATGGTTCTCTGGGGGTAGGTTAGAACTGATGAGAAATCTAAAGTGTTCGCGAAGAGAGTGTGTTTAATGTGAATCATCGGTAAAAGCAGCTGGGAGGGAGCGAAAGAGGAGGTAAATTACAGAGAAAAGCATTTTTTATGAGAGAAACAGCTGAAATATGAGGGAGAAAAATGGTGAAAAAGTAAAAGTAAATCCTTTAGAGAGAATAGCATGCTTCATAATCCGACACAAAAATAAAGACATAATGAGATAGAGAGAGAAAGAAAGAAAGACAAAACTACGAGAAAGACATAGAGACAGCAACAAGATGGGCAACACGAGACAAAACAAGACAAGACGACAAGACAAAATGAGAAATAAAGACATAAAACCTAGAAAGACAGCAAGAAATAAAGTAAAGAAAGTGAAAAAAGAGACAGAAAAACAGAGATAGCAAGCTAAAATGAGACAAAAATAAAGATGAAACCACAAGTATTTAAAAGGCCCTGCTGTAAGTGGCGTTGGTACTCATGTAGTCACGGTTCATACTGTGTTTATGGGCTGTTGTTTGTAGTCTGTAGGTTATGCAGATGCTGCTGGCTGTGCAACAAATTGCCCTCCGGGGATAATAAAAGATATACTTGAAGACTCAGAGACAGCAACAACATGAACAAAACAACCCAGAAAGACAGCAAGAAAGAAAGAAAATGGAGAGACGAGACATGAAAAACTGGAGAAAGAAGAGCCGAAAGATGATAGAAACACAAAGGAAGAAAGAGATGAGCAGGCATCGTTCCATGACGTCCCTCTTGGTGATGATCTAATGGAATCAATAACTAGACTTTTTACTGCGAGTCAGGAGCTATTGATGAGCTTCAGTTCATCCAACTTCTTCCTCCTCCTCCTCCTCATCCTCCTTTTAGTGCAGCACAAGAATAGCACTCCATATTTCTCATCAATTTCTCTGGCTGCAGAAAGCAATTAATATGTGGCTACCGTCCTCGTGTGGTTTATTTAAAAAAAAAAAAACCCAGAGCATCAGAGGGGAAAAGAGCCTGCACAGGAGCCAATTAGGGGCATCAAGGCTGAAAACTGACTAAAATGCTGAGGTATTGCAGTGTGGTGTCAAATAGAAATTTGAATTCCCTTCACGCTTTATGCAAGAAAACTGAAACAATGATGATACTGCAGCTATTGTGCTTATTTGATCTTTTTTTTTTTTTTGGCATAATAGCGTCTAAGCTTCAAGCATCTGAGTGTTTGAGAGGGGGTCCAGCTGCAGTCCTCCCCCTCCCCCAGTTCTCGGGTTACTCTGTGATGAAAACAGAGCTCTTAAATTGAATGTTCGATATTGGTTTTGTCTTCAGTAATGTAAACTTAGCTAAGCTAGCGTCTCATGAGGAATCTAACACGATTAAACGGATGAATTCAGTTTGTTTCCTACATTATAGGAACGTTATGTCTTTCTGACATATTAAACACAGATTGGTGTGTAATAACTTAAACAAAACTCCCCATGCACAGCCAACAGCAGTCAGGTAATCAGGAAATCGAAAGCTAATTTGGATTTTTAAAATGGATTGAAAGTTAAATTAAAGGCTTTTAGGGAGATGAGACAAGCTACCAAACGGCCAAAAGTCACATACCGATAATATATAACTATATGAGCTGGCCTTACTCCAACCTGCAGGGGGCGATAATACCTGCACGAGAGGGGTTTGAGGAGTTATTTCAGTGTGTTTTGTCACAGTCGTTGTACCGTTAGTGATTGAAGACGTCAGCATTATAGCTGAGTGGAATCATATAACTGATGCTATTGCACTTTCCTCTTTATTTCCTTTACAATTATGTTGAGAGGAGCAGAAGACTTGATGAAATCGATGCATAAAAAGCACAAAATTGTGCATAGAAATTTTACAGAATGTGGAAAATATGTGTTTGATCCCGAGACCCTCCGCTTGATGTGGCCGCTGGCAAGGCGCCCCTTATTTTTCTACACTGAGGCTGGCAACCCTACATCCACTTATACATTGCTTTTAAATATTTTCTCCAAATCACTTCTTTGTTACGTTGAGCTAACTATTTATGCATTATTATATAACTGTTTAGACCTTTTTACACATGCATACAATGTCATAATGTTACATTATAATCCAATTCTCCTTTTATTTGCATGGATAATGGAGTGGGGCTGGAATATTAATAATTTGGCAGTGTTCGCCACTTCTCACTTTCTTTTATTTTTCTTTATTTTAATAAAGTATTTTCTTCATTTTCTTTAACTGCCTAAGCTTCATTGTGTTGTTTTTTTTTTGGCTCGATTTTCTATTGCTCACCCACAGAATACTCCTGAATACGATGCCACCCTGTTTGGAGCAGTGACAACCAAAACACAAACGACGGCAGCATCACCTCCCCTTTCTTGTACAAACAAAGAGCACTACTCATTTCCAGGCTGATGGAGGCGGTGGCACTGACACCACCACACTCTCCAAACATTTGATGACAGACCAGAAAAAAAGAAAATTCAGTGTGACTTCAAATCGAAAGCATCCAGTCAGGCTTAATGAAGTATGACCGTGAATGTGAAGCTCTGTCTCAGGCTAACAAGCTAACCACAGCTCATTACAAGCCAGCCAGCCTCCCTCCGCTTCCTGCAGGACCAGCTTCCCTGCATGCCTGCCAAAACCGGTCATTAAAAAGGAAAAAGCCACATACTTCCTTTAGCTATGATGGAGTGCATCTTCAGTGGGGTTTCCTACATTTCCCAGAACTCCCCGTGACAGCTGAGAGGGAAGGATGATGAACCTGTTGTACTCGGGATGTGTAGGAGTGAATGAAAGCATGAGGAAAGTGGGAGTTTTTATCAGTTGAGCAAAAGAAACATTTGTGGCTGCAGAGTCCTGTGGCTACAATGCATTCTGGTCTATTTCCTGATACTGTGGGTGTAGAAATTGGCCACTGTGCCAGTTCTGTGATACATTCCTCTCTGTATAATTACTGAATGTTTGTGCTATGGTGGCTGCAGAAAAACACTTTGATTCTGATCTTTGATGAGACACTGACGTGTAAAAAACCTGATGTTTATTGCTTCATTTTGT